TAAATAAAAACTGGAAAAAAAATAAAGGAAAAAAAACTAAAAAAATTTAAAAGAAAGGAGAATGTACCTGTTACTGGGGCTCTGCTCTGAAGGAGAGGCAAAACAAGAAACGGAAAGAAAGTTTTGTGAAGGAGGCGAGGGCGTATTTATAGGCACAATGTGGGCTCAAGAATATGCAAAGTCCCTTTCGTGGTTTGGTGGCATCTCTTTTTTAATTTCCCACAGTTCCTTGATTCTCCCTCTTTCCCTCTCACCTGTCTCTCTCCAGATGACGTGGGCGTGGGGTATACATACAGGATAAGATTATTTTTGGGGTCAAGAGGTGAGACTAGGATTATCAATACCAGTCATCGAACCAGTTAAACTAATGGTTCAATAGTTTATTAGTCTAACCAGTAGTTCAATCGGTTGGACCGTTATTTAATTTATTGATATTTTTAAATATATATATATAATATTTCATATATATAGCTAACTTAATCTTTAAGTTGTTCAATAGTTTATTAGTCTAACCAGTAGTTCAATCGGTTGGACCGTTATTTAATTTATTGATATTTTTAAATATATATATATAATATTTCATATATATAGCTAACTTAATCTTTAAGTTGTTTAATTTATTGATATTTTAAATATATAATACTTTATAAATATTAATTATAGTTAACTTATTTTTTAAAAGGTTGGTCCCACCATATACAGATTAAGCAATAAAATAATAGTACAAAAATATGAAACAAAAAAAAATATTTCCTCACACTCCCACATTGAGCAATAAAATAATAGGAAATAAATATGAGATATGGAAAAAGAAATTTCTTCCACACGTGGCTTTACATTTACAATTGAAAATTTGGAATTCTTACATCTTGTCCCACATATGTAACCACAAAAAAAAAATTAAAAAAAAATATTTGACCGGTTAAACCGACCGGTTTTTGTCGGTTTTGTCCGATTTTGGCCGATTAGACTGACAGACGGTTTCTTCTATAGAACCGGACCGGTGAACTAGCCGGTTCCCGGTTCAACCGGCCGGTTCGGTCCAGTTTTGAAAACCTTGGTTGAGACACACGCCTTGTGGACTCTCTCTATCTAGAAAAAAAAACCCTCAATTTTCCAAACAAAGCCCTCGTCCAATTTTCGTCGCCCCCTCTCTTTCGGCAAGTTATCTTAAGTGCCCACCATCCCGGCGTGGGCCGAATCATTGTTGGGGCCCTCTTTTCCATCTCGCTCGGAGTTTTGTCGGTATCATGGGCACCGGTGGATCTAAACCCCCAACCTATGTTCCCGGCTTCGAGAGGGGTCGTCGGTAGTTGTATTCATACTCATTCGTGCAAGTTCGCCCTTCGCCGCTCTGCAGAATTTCAGTTTGTGTGTCTCTTTTTTGCTTATTGGAGGTTGCTGCTCGTCCGAGTCACGGTGCCCTTTTCTGTCAGGCCGTCTATTCGCCGAGCAGCCTTGGGCGATGCCTCGTTGGCGCCTAGTCTTGAGCCCTCATGTGTCTTTGGCGGCTCTCCCTCTTTTCATTGGAGCCGATGTCCAGTGGAGTCTATATCGGATTCGAGAATCCGACTAGACTATTTGACTGACCGCAATTTTTAGATTTGGGGTCTATTTGTGTTGCTCTGTTGGGTTTCTTGGCTATGGTGTATATTGTTTTCAATGGATGTCATTTTGCATCAATTGGTAACATACACTTAATAGTGATAGACATGGCCAACTATCGGGCCGGTTCACCGCCAGGTAAAAAATAAATAAAAAAATTAAAAAATTAAAAAACAACTACAACCCGTCGAAAAACTCGGGCCCGGCCCGACAGGTCAGAAAGGATGTTTTAACGACGCTTAACCGGCCCTTAAGGAGTTCCGATCCTCTACAAAAACTGGCTTTGCCGGGCCGGTTCTGGGTCGAGCCAACCCGTGACCATGTCTAAATAGTGGTGGTGTTACAATCTCATCTCCATTAAGTATGGAGTTATGAGAAGTATGTTTCAAGTCTTCATTTACTTTGAGTTCCATGAAGACTAGTATGAAATGTGTTTAGTATAATAATCTAAAATGTAATTGATATATTTACCACCCCACGTATTTAAAAAATAATGATAAAAAAATATAAGTAAACAATTACTTCTAGCACCATTTATATATGATATTAAAAAGATAAACCGAAGAGTCATTTTCCGAACTATCAAATAAATTATTAAATTATAAGAAAATCAAAATATTTATAATATTTATTGTTATAAATTATGATAAACGAATGAGTTATTTGTCGAACTGACATGTAAATTGTAAGTTTTGAAAGAAAAACCTAAACATTTATAATATATATTGCTACAAATTATGATGACAACCCAACGGATCATCTGTCGAACTATCCATGTAAAATATTAACTTAAAAAAATATATTTATAATGTATCTTGTTATAAACTATAATGATAAACCAACAAGTGATATATCCCCCAGTCCCCCCTATATATTAATTCAGAACGTGCTGAGCCTAAGTGGCAGGCTCGCATGCTTCGGGATTCTATGTGGCAAAATTACATGTTTCGTTATTTGGCTTGGGTAGATTTTAATTTATTTTCAATCCAAAAGTAATTAGGTCCGGATTATCCATAAATATGTTGATTATTTATGTTCATGTTACATGTATTAATTGTAGTTTAATATCATTTCTTATTATAACCATTGAATTGTAAATGTATTTTAAAAGTTAATAACTTTTGTATTTTTTAATCAGTTTTGCATATATAATATATCAAATTATTCATTTCTTAATGAGTTTCGATTTAACATCTATATTGTATGTATCAAAAAATAAATTATATTTATGATCCATCATTATACAACTCTAAATTCTTATGAATAGAAATGGCATAACGTGTTAATTATTGTTCAATTTTTGTTATTATACCACATGATTTTTTTGAAGGGAATGATGAGAATATATTATCGCTACTGAATCGTTGTAATAGATAGAGTACAATATAGCTTACTATAATGCATAAACTACTTTTTTTTTTTTTATCATATATCATAAATGTTAGTTTTTATCAAAATAAATTTTACTTTTTTATAATTTATATAATGTATTTAAATGTCTTATTTGAATTCTTTTATGAAAATTCTATAAAGGTTTCACTTCTGAAAATTATAATAAATTTCATTTCGCATGAATTACGTGCAAAAAATAAGTGATTTGTTATTGAAATTCGATGAAAAAATGTATTTGTCACATTACTGACACTTTTTAAAACCTTTTTCCTAAAAAAATGTCATGGTAATAACATAATTTTCATCATTTCTGAATATTTAAAGACACTATTACTATTTTATACAGATAACTGAAATAGAATAATTAAAATAAACATGTACAAATATGAGCAAATTAAAATTAAATAATATAAATTAAATACTTGAGAAAAAGGTGCAAAAATGACTCAATTTCAAACCGTATGCATTTAATTTCAAATTAGGTTCACGTATATTTCATTTTTTTTAATTGACAAAACAAATTTCCATAATTCATTTATTTAGAAAATAAGTCTGACAGGATCATAATGACGTACAAGATAAATCACTTTTTGCGAAGTTACAAATAGGGACAATAATTGTTAATGTTCATATCACAAATGATTTTTTAAGTTAAATTTATTTAATTCAATTTCTGTATAAAACTAATATATGCTATTTTTTAGTCACAACCAGTAATATATTGGTGTATCTAGAATCATGGATCAACGTTGTCTGATGATTATTATTTATCATAAGTCATAATTGATACAACTCATCTACTATACTATTATACTTAGGTAAATATGTTAAAATATAATAAATAATTTTTTCATCCTACTTTTTATTATCTCTGTACATGTTTTATGAATATTTTCTCATTTATTTAAATTATAATTCACCTACATTATTTTTAACATCATGGCGCGCAACGCGCGGGTGACATACTAGTAGATAACCTAAAACAAGGGAGCACATGTTACGATTGCGACTGAATATAGAGTTCATTTTAAAATTATTGTTTAGTAAGTATGTAGTAATGTAGAAATTAATTTTATAAAATAAAATAAATTTAATATAATAAATAAACACAAATTAAAAATTATTACAATTAATGATGTGCCCGAATGTTGAGACCTATGAGAATCTCGTTATGTACAAGTTACGAATTCAATAGCAAACGTAAACCTATGCGCAACGGATCTAAAGGTTTGACGTAGAAAACTTACGACTTAAAATTTTCAATTATTTTGTGTTTGTTTAATATAATAAGTTATTTTAATAATTTTTTGTTTCATTTTATATAACTTAATTTAATATATTTTAATTTATTGTAAGTTTATATTTTAATAATTTAATTTAATATAATTTACATTATCTTCTAAATTTAATTTCATTTATCCATATGTAATAGGATATATATTAAACTTTACTATATTTAGCACTTAATCTTGAGTGGTGTGGTGGTTGCATTGGTTGTCATGCTTTCATAAGGTTTCAGGGTCGAACTCCAAAGACAATAATTTTTTTTTTTAATTTTATTTCTCGCGATATATTCAATATATCGTGATAAATTCAATTTTTTTATTTTATTTCTTGCCATATATTCAATATATCGTGATAAATTCAAATTACTGTAAATATATATAATATTCAGAGGGTATAACGGGATTTTTTATAAAAAGCTAACATCGTTAACGGAAAAATTGAAAAAAGGGAGCGTGTGCATCCGGTAGTTAAAGATAAAAGGGTCTAGTGCATTTTTTAAAACACAATGTAGTAACGCGCACATTTCGTATAACACAGGGGGTCTAGTGCAATTTACCCTTTTATATAGATATAAATAACGTAAAAAGAGGGAACACATGTTACGACCGCGACTAAATATAGATTTCTTTTCACAATTATTGTTTAGTAAGTAAGTAGTAATGGAATAAATGGAAAAATATAATTTTAGAAAATAAAATAAAAATAACATAGTAAATAAACACAAATTAAAAAAAATATTATAATTAATGATGTGCATGAAGTATCGGCCCATCAAGATTTTTCTATTGAACCACCACGTACCACAAACCGGGCTAACCTGCAAAATAATGTTAGAGGTGGACCCCGACCTACACTTCAACACTCAAGTCAGAAATTTTATTTTCGAAAGATCTTAATTGAGAAACTTATTTAAAGCATAATTATATAAATATAAACTCGATCCTTTATTTATAAGAGTGTTACTCATAGTTTTCAATTCGGATCGGCCCGACATGTCGACTCTGGACTTGGTCAACCCTAAGCCGAAATAGGTCCAAGTGGGTTATTCAGAACGGACAACAATGGTCCTAGTCAAACTCAGTCAAAACCCAGTCGACACGACATTGAGCCGGTCGACCCGGGATATTGACCCGACCCTTATATATATATTTTTTATAAAAAATATGTATACATATTTATATAGTAAATATTTATTATAAGATACAATACTATTAACATTTTGAAGTACATATTTTGTTACAAATATTAAATTTTGTCACTTTTATGTATATTTATATACAAAAATACTATAAATATAAATTTTAAAATTTTAAAACTAAATATCCTTTTAAGTTTCAACAGTTGAACCAGTGGCCGGTCACCCGGATTATTGACATCATAACGATGTAAATATTTTTCTCAGAAAAAATATAGAATGATAATTTATTTTATTTTTTATTTGTTAATAGAACTAAAACATAAAAAAAATATAATAATATTATTACTTTTTTGAAAATTATGCATTTTATTAAAACCAAGATAAATAAAAACCAAACAAAACGCTGAATAGTAAAGCAGCACACAACAAAATCAAAACCCTACACAGTGGCTTATCACTTCATACGCTTCGCCTTCTGCCCCCGCTCTCATAGGTTGACTTCGAGCAGATCCAGGTATGCTTCGTCCTTTCCTTTTCAATTTCTTTTTCAAAATATGATCTGGTTGTGTGTTTTCGTCCTCTCCTCCTGGTTGTGTGTTTTCGAGGTATCACAGTGGCGTTTTTTATTTTTTTTTTGTCAAAGTTGTTGTTTTTTTTAATTAATTTCTAGGTTTTGTCTCTGATTTTATTATTGATGTTGCAAGTTGGAATATTGAAGATGGTATACTGCCCTAGGAATATTGTGTAGTTTCCTTTTTTTCATATGCGTGTATTGAATTGGGTTTATGATTTGTAATATTTTTTCCCACCACGAAATTTGTAGTTTTTGTGGACTTGCTTGGAAAGATATGGCTGAAGAATCCGGAAGAAGCTTTGCTCGAAGAGACAAGCTTTTGGAGATCGAGTCAAAGGTCCAAAAGTTGTGGTCGGAGGGTGATGTGTTCCATGCCGAACCTAAGGCCGGAAAACCTAAAGAAGGGGAGAAATTCTATGGTAACTTCCCATTTCCTTATATGAACGGATATCTGCACTTGGGCCACGCGTTTTCTCTTTCAAAGCTCGAATTTGCCGCCGCCTACCACAGATTGAGGGGAGCCAACGTGCTTCTGCCTTTCGCCTTCCACTGTACTGGAATGCCCATAAAGGCATCGGCCGATAAGCTCAAAAGGGAAATCGAGAGATTCGGGAATCCTCCCGTTTTTCCAGTTGTCAAGGAGGAGGAAATTGTCGAGCCCGAGGGTGAGGGAGATGTAAATCAGGCTCATCCTGGTGGCAAATTCAAGGGGAAAAAATCTAAAGTCGTTGCCAAATCCGGTGGAATCAAATACCAGTGGGAGATTATGCAGAGTTACGGATTATCTGATGAGGAGATTGCGAAGTTCACCAATCCTTACCATTGGCTGACCTTTTTCCCGCCTCTGGCTGTGGAGGATCTGAAAGCTTTCGGGCTGGGCTGCGACTGGAGGCGTACATTCATCACCACCGATATGAACCCATATTTCGACTCTTTCGTCAGGTGGCAGGTTCGAAAATTGAAAGACATGGGCAAGATCGTGAAGGATTTGAGGTACACTATTTACTCGCCTCTCGACGGGCAGCCGTGTGCTGACCATGACCGTGCCTCGGGTGAAGGTGTTATCCCACAGGAATATACCCTCATAAAAATGGAGGTAATCTCGCCTTTCCCGCCAAAAATGAGTGCTTTGGAAGGGAAAAAGGTGTACCTTGCTGCCGCTACTTTAAGGCCCGAGACGATGTACGGGCAGACCAACTGTTGGGTTTTGCCAGATGGAAAATACGGGGCTTTCGAGATAAACGACACGGAAGTTTTCATCTTGACGAGACGCGCGGCTCTGAATTTGGCCTATCAGAAGCTCTCGCGCGTGCCCGAGAAACCCACCTGTCTCGTAGAGTTGACCGGCCAAGATCTCATCGGTTTGCCTCTGAAAGCCCCGTTGGCGTACAACGACGTTATTTACACTCTGCCAATGTTGTCTGTTCTCACGGACAAGGGCACGGGTATCGTCACTAGCGTCCCGAGCGACTCTCCCGATGATTACATGGCACTTCACGATTTGAAAGCAAAACCAGCATTCAGAGCCAAATACGGAGTAAAAGACGAGTGGATCCTTCCGTTTGAGATCATACCAATCATCCACCATCCCGATTTCGGGGACAAATCGGCCGAGAGAGTATGCATCGAGAAGAAGATCAAGAGCCAGAATGAGCGGGAAAAGCTCGACGAGGCCAAGAAGATAATCTACAAGGGAGGCTTTTACGAGGGCACGATGCTCGTGGGCGAGTTTACCGGGATGAAAGTTCAGGAAGCCAAGGGTTTGATCCGGAGCAAGCTCTTGGAGCTCGAGCAAGCTGTGGTCTACAGTGAGCCTGAAAAAAAAGTCATGTCGAGATCAGGTGACGAATGTGTCGTGGCCTTGACAGACCAGTGGTACATCACTTATGGAGAACAAGAATGGAAAAAAGCGGCTGTCGAGTGTTTGGCAGGGATGAATCTATACTCGGACGAGACTCGTCACGGATTCGAACACACGTTGAGCTGGCTAAACCAGTGGGCTTGTTCTAGAAGCTTTGGGCTGGGGACCCGTATTCCGTGGGACGAGGAGTTTCTTGTCGAGTCGTTATCCGATTCGACTCTCTACATGGCATATTACACTGTAGCTCATATGCTTCAGAGAGGGGACATGTATGGGGCAAATCGGTCTTCAGTAAAACCTGAGCAGCTAACAGATGAGGTCTGGGATTTCTTATTTGTAAACGGCCCGTATCCCCAATCCTCCGATTTGCCCGAAACCCTTCTCAATAAGATGAAGCAAGAGTTTGAGTATTGGTACCCGTTTGATTTGAGGGTATCTGGAAAGGACCTCATTCAGAACCATCTCACGTTCTGTATATACAATCACACGGCTATTATGCCCAAGCATCACTGGCCGAAAGGATTTAGGTGCAACGGCCACATAATGCTGAACTCCGAGAAAATGTCGAAATCGACCGGGAATTTCAGGACCCTCCGTCAGGCAATCGAGGAGTTCTCTGCTGACGCCACTCGGTTTTCGCTTGCTGACGCTGGTGACGGCATGGATGATGCCAATTTCGTGTTCGAGACGGCAAATGCCGCGATTTTACGCCTCACGAAAGAGATTTCGTGGATGGAGGAAGTTATTTCGGCAGAGTTGTCTCTAAGGAACACGCCTCCCACGACTTACGCTGATCGTGTGTTTGCTAACGAGATGAATATAGCTGTCAAGTCGACCGAAAAGAATTTTGGCGATTATATGTTCAGGGAAGCTTTGAAGAGCGGGTTTTACGATCTCCAGGCGGCGAGGGACGAGTACAGGCTGTCGTGTGGGGCTGGGGGAATGAACCGAGACTTGCTGTGGAGGTTCATGGATGTTCAAACGAGGCTTATTGCTCCTATCTGCCCTCATTACGCAGAATACGTGTGGAAGGAGATTTTGAAGAAAAGTGGCTATGTGGTGAAAGCCGGCTGGCCTGAGGCTGATTCGCCGGATTTGACTCTGAAAAAGGCGAATAAATATCTGCAGGATACTATTGTGTCAATGAGGAAGCTTTTGCAGAAGCAGGCCACTGGTTCGAAGAAAGGTGGGAAAACGGGTGCTACTAATTCTGCACAGAATATTAAGCCGACTACTGGATTGATATTCGTGAACGAGCAATATGATGGGTGGAAAAAAGAGTGTTTGAACATTCTCAAGAGGAAATTCGACTCTGAGAGTTGTACTTTTGCGCCTGACCAGGAAATCCTTTCCGAACTGCAAAAGAGTGATGTCGGGCAGTCGGGCAATTTCAAGCAGATACAAAAGCTGTGCATGCCGTTTTTGAGGTTCAAGAAAGATGAGGTTAAGGCTGTTGGGGTTCAGGCGCTGGATCTGAAGCTGCCATTTGGCGAGATAGAAGTGCTCGTGGAGAATGTTGAGCTGATTAAGCGGCAGTTGGGACTCGAGCATTTGGAGGTTGTGTCTAATGCTGATGGTGATGCTGTGGATCGGGCTGGAGATCATGCGGCAGTTTTGAAGTCTAATCCGCCTTCACCAGGGGTACCTACGGCCATTTTTATCTGAATTATGAAATAATGTTTTTTGCAGGCTATCTTGCTACTGCTATTTCNTGTTGAGTCTAACAGGTGAAAAACTTGTTCTTCCAAAGGTGAAAAGGTTGCAAAATGTTGGTTTGTAGCTTGAATTTGAGGTATTGGGTTTTGAAAATCTGTTTGGAGATGACATTATATGAATTTATTGCGTTTTGTTAGAGTTTTTTTTTTTAAGTCGAAATTTATCATTGTCCAAACATCCCTCTTCAACTGGATGGAATTCTGTTCCACTCATTCTCTGCATAATTCCTTGAGTTCTTCTGTATGAACTCATAGATGTCTGCTTGCTGGTAATTTTACTGTTATTGAGACAATCTTCTGTGGTTGCTTTTCATCTTTCTATTGCTGTTGCTCTAAAGGCTAGATTGATTCTTAAGTTGGTGTTGAGTTTGATGCCTGTGGACTGTGAGTGATTGTGGAATGAGCCATTGGTGGAGTTAATATTTTGCTTGCTGCTATTTTGCTTGTGAAGGAGTGCTGTTGAAGAATCTGGGAGTCTTGGTTTCTCTAGCTTTTGTTGTATAGTTTTTTTTCCTTCACTTTGTATAGCAGCTGCAATTAGGCCAGGCCATGTAGGGCAGTGGTGGTTGTTGCTTTCTTTTTCGTCTCTCTTCGGAAACAGGGTATAAAAATACAACTATTTGGAAAATATATAAGTAATCATAATTATATATTTTTTATATAAAAAAACACTGATAGAAATTAAAAATAATTTACATCATACATTTTTAATAACAAATACTATTTGTTGAATCAGACATTATAAGTAATCAATCTTATCAACTAATATTTCTTTTATTTATATGTTATATTAATTTTAATTAGTTTGTTATTTTATTCTCCAGTGCAGTCACCTACTTTTTCATTTTTTCTCTCGCACTTTAGTGATTGTCTTCTTTTCGCACTCGGTCCAGCTAAAAAATCACTCATTTGACTTGGTCAATTGTTTTCGTTAGCTAAGTTGCTTTACTTACCAACGACTTGTGGAAATTTCTTCAATTTCTCCTGTAAGTTTTTAATTTTAAAACAAGCTTTGTATTAATACTAAAAGTTAATTGTGCAATTGTACAAATGTAAAATCATACAAGTGATGGCATATAAAATACAATATTACCCTTTAATAAATAATCAAAACTTCAATAATCAACATTTTTTTTTTTAATTTTTAAAAATAAATAACTAATCTGTCTTGATACCTTGAACAAACATTGGACTCACCCAAAAATAAATAAATGAATGTATTTGCTTGTTTTCTTTCGTTTTCCTTGGTTTGCTTTCTTAGACTGGATGAACGTATTTTAATGTAGTCTGAATTTTCCTTGTCAATGCCCCAGCCAACACAAATTAGTCTAATCCTAATTTTTTCAATATTAAATTTATCTTGGCAAGTTTATTTTCAGCAATCCCCACATTAAACTATAATCATGAAAATTGACATGTAGGGAATTAGATTACTCCACATGAAAAATGTTCACATCTGCCATCAGATTATATATGGTTATAGATTGTATAATATAAAAAAATTTACCAAGTCCTTAAATCCAATAATAATAATAACAATATCTATCTAAATCCCAAACTTATATAATTGTTTATGCTTCAGGGTAAAATCATGACCCAAGTTTTGATATTGACCAATAATAAATTGTAAAAAAAATTCATCATTTTTCAAGAATAGGTAGAGTGTTCATACATTTTAAAACAAATGTACATAATTTCAAATTAAAATATCATGCTTAAACAAATAATGTAAATAAAATTATGATATTTATTCTATAAGTAGGCATAATTATTATTACAGAGAAATAACATGTCGACTCGCCAAACAATAAAATTGTTTCACACAAGAATTTATATTTAACTATAACTTAGATGACATGAATATACTATTTCTTCCTTTATCATATTAAACCAATTAAATAAAAATCGCATACTAAAAGACACGCTTTTCATAGGCTGCAGTTGGATTACTTTCTGCTCAGACAACAATGTTTGATTATTCAGTTATCTTATCCTTTAATCAAAGAGAGCTTTGATGAAAGGGCAAGATATGATAATAATGAAAATGAAACAGATAAAAAAGAAAAAAGTAGTGTGTGTGTCTGAGTATGAGTGAGAGAGAGATCAGAAAGGAGAGACCAATCAAAATTGGTTGTCTTGTTTAAGATATATTCTCTCTATCCAAATTACAATCTCAAACCTGTCTGAGTCGATCAAGCATGTATTTGGCTCCGCTTGTTTAATTAATAAGTTGATATTAAGCTCGTTTAAACCTCAATTAATTAATGGGACCCGAATAATTCTTTATAATCTAACTCAAGATAAACGAGCTTAATTCAAACTCGAACTCGATTATTGGTTCGTTAAAAGCTCGAGTTCGAGTGCCATAAACTCGACTATTGGCTCGGTAAGAGCTCGAGTATCGAGTGCCATGAGATCAAGCTCGGCTCGTGTCATTTTTCACATCAGCAAGAAATAAATTGAAGACCATTTTTTGCCCTTTTTATTTAATCTTCTTCTTTGAGACTGCGTGTCAGCGTGTGTGTGTGCTCAAACTGTCTTTCTGCTTTACCCCATTTCTTAAGTAGAAAAAAAGCTCGATTCTTTGCTATAAATCCAAGAAACCCACAAGAAAAAACAGCAGCCCACTTGGAGATAAGATTAAAAAAAACCTCCATTCTTACATCGTATGGTTGGGATTACATAGGGGAAGAGATATGAAATGGGGATTATCTATGAAGACGCAGTTTTGATTAAAAAAGCTGCGAGTGAAGGTGAACACACCGTGATAACTGTGAATTGTCCAGATAAAACTGGGCTTGGATGTGATTTGTGTAGAGTTATATTGCTCTTTGGACTTAGCATTGCCAGAGGAGGTATATATCTTGTAATCTTGGTTAGCTTTTAGCTTTTGCTATTTCTCGTGGTTATTGTTATTAGCTCTATTGTCAGTGTTGGCTCAAGTTTTTGTGCCAATTTTCTGTTTTAAGGACGTTTTTCATGGGCTTCTGTTATGTTTTTAGTTTTCATTTTAAAGATTATATTCAAAATATATTTTGTCAAGAAAATTCAATTTGGGGTTAGAGTTTATGCTTTTCCTTTTGCTGAATTTGTGTATATTTGCTGCCAAACTTGTGTAGGATATTATTACATCACCCTACTTCAGTTTTTGGTAATGTAGAGCTGCAGATATTTCAATATTCTATAAAATCAAAATATAAAATCAGTCAGATTGAGAATTTTACAATGTTGATAATTTAAACTGACTGTTGGGAAAATTTGGAATTTGTTGAATCTAATATCAGTTAATGTATGATATGTTCTTGTATCCTTTTTAGTTGTGTATTTATTTTTCCATAATATGTGAATAACAGATGTTTCAACTGATGGTAAATGGTGTTACTTGGTATTTTGGGTGATTGCAAAGCCGTCAACTAAATGGAGTTTGTTAAGAATGAGGCTTCTTGATGTTTGCCCTAAATGTACTCCTTCGGCTTCCGGAATATTCTATTTTATTCCGGAGTTTCAACCGACGAGGCCACCCGAGATTTTCCTGCTCAAGTTTTGGTGTTCTTATGACCGGAAAGGCTTATTACATGGTATGCTTCCTTTTGATGAAATTAATAATATAAATAATTTTAAACACTCATTTCTTGTTTGTAGTTCCTTTCCTTTTTTCTTCCTCTCGTGTTTTCTGAAATAGTTACAAGGCCTATCTATCCTTCTGCAATTTAATTTGAAAAATTTGTGTGTTTTTTTGAGTTTCAAAAAAAATATTATATACTAATTGATCACACTGGCTTATATTTTGTCAACATGAGGAAATAATATAGTGAAAAATCACTTAATGTATCATTCTTTTTATTTTTCTTTCCCAAGCTAAGAGTTTAGTATCTTATTTGATATTCTTCGCAGATGTAACCGAGGTTCTTTATGAGCTTGAACTAACAATTAAGAGAGTGAAAGTTTATACAGCTCCCGATGGAAGAGTAATGGACCTCTTCTTTATTACAGATACAAGGTTGTGTTTAGTATCTTCTCTATTGTTTGCTCTCTACTTCATGAAATTATCTTTTCTGATAATCCTTTTTTACCGCGAAGGTTTGATAAGAAAAGAAGAAAAAATGAAAGTAATGAGATGGAGCATTTGGTATAATAAGGATTCACTTCTTGCACAATCTTATTTTTAAAAGTTTTAAAATTCTCAGTTTGGGTGAACTCCAGTGGGTGCATTCAGTAAAAGAGTGATTCGGGTAAATATTAAAGCAGTGATTATTATGGGAGCAATACAAAATATTTATAAGATGTATTAGTTGAGTTTTCTTTCTTCCATGAATCAACTGTTTTCATTTATTTGAATTTCATTGATTATTCTCATCCACAATATGAATTCAGATATAATAAACATATGATGAATTTTCAGACACCTTATAGTTGCCTATTGGTAGTTTGATCTTTTTTCAGATCTTTTGTCATTATCAACCTTTCCCTAGTCTTTCTTGGAAAAGAGCGTGTTTGTATACAAATATATCCGTTCAAAATGAGTTTTATTGGTTTACTAGAGTTAATTTTGAAAAAAGTGGTATGCTTAGTTGTTAGTGAGATTTTGATTTTATACTAAAATAATATTTCTAATAAAATAATTATAGTTGATTTGATGGAAAAGTTTGAGAGAGATGATGTGAAGTGATAGTTAGGTAAAATTATGTAAGCGGATGAATAGTAAATTAAAATTGATGTGATGTATAAGAATGATTGGTTGGTATTATTTAATTATATTGATAATATTGATGATAGTTGAGTTAAAGTTGAGTTAGATTTTGAGTATGAATTGAGTATGGAATGAATATTTTGATATACAAACACACCATAAGAATTTTCATCCTCAGCTTTTGAATTTTTTGGGCTTTGTGTGACTTGAACCCTCTTTCTTTTTTCTTTTTTATTTTTCATTTTTTTTTTTGTTTGTTGTTGCAATTTCAAAGAAAAGGAAATAAGCAAAAGGAAAGGAGCAATCTTTGGTACATCAAATCAAAAAAGGTGGAATCATGGAAATTTCATGTATTTTCTTTTATCTGTTTTTTTCTCTATGTCATTACAATCTAGTCGATGCAAACTTCACGCAAATATGGATTCAATTTTACATTATGCATCTCCCTTTAATCATGTGCTTATGCAGAGAACTTCTTCAGACGAGCAAGGGACGAGATGAAACAATAAGACAACTAAAATTCGTACTAGGAGATGCCATGATGACCTGCGAAATCGAGCCGGCTTCTCATGAAGTTGCTTCTTTTTTACACTCATTTTCTTCATCATCTGATATGGGAAACAATTTTTTGCATGTGCCAGTTGACTCAGTAACAGTTGAGTTCGATAACTCACTCAGCCCATCTCACACACTTGTTCAAATTTTCTGCCGAGATCACAAGGGTCTCATTTACGATATCATGAGAATGCTCAAAGATTATAATATCCAGGTATATATTAAGAATATATAATATTTTAACAGGCTTTGGGGTTTTACTTTTCTGTTTTGGTTTACTTTTCATTTTCTTACTCCTTTAAATGAGTGAGCAATGTACATATATGCATGGGTTTCAGCTGGCATGTTTTCATGATGATGGTTAAAAGTTTCTACCTTTGAAGTTAGTAATAGTTACAAATTAACTACAAAAACCACCCCTATGGTTTGGGTATTTTCGAACAAATCTACTGAAAGATCTCAAATTTACTATAGAAAAATGTATTTCTTTACTTCCTATATGATAAATATTTTAGTTACACTTTTTGTACGCAAGCCAGACTCAAGCCTCTTTAAAGGGCTTATTTTGTTATTTCGAGTCTTTTTCCTGGTTTGTTTCTGTTATTACTCAATAAATTTTGTTCGTATTATGTTGTTGTAAATTTCCTTGAAAAAAATTATGCTCGACTCTGAGCGAACACATGTCAAATATTTATTCATATCTTACAATATTTAACGTTTACAATTATCTAAAATGTTACTTCCTAAAAAATATGTCTCCAAATATACGAATTGCGAAAATCCCAAGCTTAAAATGTTAGAAATCGGCATATTTAACTTAGCACTTACTAGGATGATATGCATGAATTTTTTTCCCGCCAGATTTCTTACGGCCGCTTCTTTGCGAACGCAAAAGGGAACTGTGAGATGGACTTATTCATAACGGAAGCCCAAGGGAAAAAGACAGTTAACGATTGTAGGAAAACTGCACTTTGCTCTCGTCTGAAAACCGAGCTTCTCCACCCTCTCAGAGTGGATGTTGTGAGCAGAGGTCCTGATACCGAGCTTTTGGTGGCTAACCCAGTCGAGCTTTCTGGCCGTGGCCGGCCGCTCGTTTTCTACGATATCACGCTTGCCCTCAAGATTCTCAACATTAACATCTTTTCGGTAAGATTCTGGACATAAAATGTGCATCAGATAATGAAAGGCAACAATGAGTAATGTTATTTGTTTATTGAAAGTTTTTGAGGAACCAAAGAAAATATAGTTATGTGTTTC